TTTTTTTTTTTTTGCATTCCGTACGCGACAAGTACGACGTCTGAATCACTTGAATTTGACAGAAAATAATAATAAATTCGACTGAGCGAGTCGTAAAAAGCGACCAAAAATCTGTATTGATTCAAACGTCGAACTTCCTCGCGTCAAATGCGATGCATAAAGTCTAAAGGCTCAATATTACGGCGGCTATGGATAAAARCCTAGTGCTTCAGCTGGCTTTTGTTAACGCGTGCTATCGTTGAGTTTATAGCGAGTAGCAATTAAATCCGACGTTTGAATTAGACTTCATTGAATTTTTTAAAGACAATTAGATTTGACGCGGCAAAAGTTCGACGTCCGATCTGGACCTAAAGTACAACAAAATTTTCCCAGTTTGCTAGGAATGTCTGGGAGTGGCCACTCAACGATGATTATAGAAAGTTCGACCAGTGTTTTTGGGTTAAGTAAAACATGGTACTTGCCCCCAGTCCTTTTCAACTCTTGATCTTCTAAATGCTATTTATCATCGTTTAGAGTAAAGAATATATCGCAGACAAGAGGAGTAGTTTAGCAGAAAGTATGCAGTGGTTGAAAGAAGACTCGAACAAGATTAGCGAGAAGAATATTAGATATGAAGAAGAAATCAAACAGCTGAATCAGGTAACGGAATACGTATCAAAAACTACACAGCAAGACCAAGCAAGGCACTTTTTGTATCAAAGCGCAGGAGCGCTTTTCTCAGAGCTCTTATTTCTTACTGCGCATGCTCGATGTAATAATTTTTTGTCGAGCATGCGCAGTAAGAAATAAGGTCTGGGAACGAGATATTAGGAAAGGGCTGAAAACCTGAAAAATGCGCATGCGTTAACCCATGTATGACATCCAAACTTTTTTTCCTTTTTTTTTACGGCGTTTACTTCTAATTCACTTGTTGTATTCAACACAACAACACAGGCCCAACTAGTAAAGCCTGGTTCAGCAACGCAAACGCAAGCGCAAACGCAAACGCAAGAAAACTATGTGTGAACTACAGTAACGCAAACGCAAGGAATGGAAAATTTTTCATTTTCTTGTGCTTGCGTTTGCGTTTGCGTTTGCGTTTTTAACGTGTGAACCGGAGAAAACGCAAACGCAAGCACAAACGCAAGACGTGGTTCACACGAGCAACGCAAACGCAAACGCAAGGAAAATACGCGTGAACTATAAACAATCACTACTGCGCATGCGTATCTTAATTTACTTGCATTTGCGTTGTACGTGTGAACATTGCTTGCGCTTGCGTTTGCGCTTGCGTTTGCGCTTGCGTTTGCGTTTGCGTTTGCGTTGCTCGTGTGAACCAGGCTTAACCACTAGTCATTCTAATTCACTTGTATTCGACACAACAACACAGGCCCAACTAGTAACCACTAGTCATTGTCAGTAAATCATACACGTGAGCAAAAAAATACACAGGAATCCCAAATTTAACACTACTAGCCACACTTAAAGCGTAGTCCAAGTTTACTCACACTAACCAACACAAACACAACATCATTAACCATTAGCCACATTAAAAGTACACAGCAAACCYAATTCTAATCATCGTCAGTCATATTAAAGAAGTACACAGGCAACCCAAAATGAAAAAAATCAATGTTGTACTACACTAAATATAACACTAAATATAACACGACTATACACGAGCAGATGATAAAGGAACATTTTGTTTGTTTTAAGGAGCTGAATGCAGTTTCACGTAAGCTTGCACAGACAGAAACAGCACTAGATATGCAAACTAAGGTATATTAAAAATCACCAAACATCCTTCCCCAGCTCCTTCACCCTTTTATGGATCAAAGCTGCCACTTTACTCGACATTCGTCCGATCGTTCGATTATTGATTCATCCATCTCTTTCTTTAGCTATTCATCCATTCATCTATTCATCCATCCAGGTATCATTTTAGTTCCAGCCCATCATTTACTCATTTCTACATTTATTCACATATCTATCCATCCATCCAGATATCTCATTCTCATTCCCATATCCATCTTTTTTTCCGAAAACCCAATAGCTACTCATATATCCATCCATCCAACCATGCTTCTATCCATTCATCCTTCCATCCATTTACTCTTTACACGTCTATTTACCTATATTTTTTCTAAATTTGTTTTTGTTTTACAGCTTCGCGAAGAACTAGAAAATGATCGTAGTCGAATGCGTGAAGAGATGCGCATCTTCGAAGCAAAGGTTASACATTTCGTCCAAGTCAAAGTCAGCCATTCAAACGTTGAGTAAAAGAATGGATTGAGTTGGATTTGCAGTATACGTTGAGGCTGTTTTAGGGAACAAAACGGAAGCCATCTTGGAGACATGTGAATAATTGTTCAAGGTGTTAAAAAAGGTCTCTATCATTGCAAGCTCACCGTTCGTCTCGCTTCGATGCAAAAGCACGGCTACCTTTCAAGATGGCGCAAAGAACTGTGAAAGGGGCTATTCTAACTCGACCCTATCTTTTCCTTTATCTCGGAACGGATAACAGAAATCTTGAAATTGCTTTCTAATTTAAAACTTCTTACTGAAAATTTTCTTTTTCTAGTTATTAGTTACAGAAGATGTAAAAGAGGAAATCTCTGGACGCGCCAACCGTCTCGAAGAAAAGTTAGGACAGAGCATGCGCACTACTGATGACGTCGCGTCTAGGTTAGCTTCAAGAAGCGCAGACATGGAAGCTGTTACTCGATCATTGGTAAGTAACCATGGAAACGAGTTGGAAATCTTTACTTGTTATTCAGTATGTACATATTTTAGCGTTTTTTTATGCAATGGCAACAAACGTTTGCTGTAGTGAAATTTAAATTTAAAACATAAATAGCCCTTGTTTTACGAGGCTATCACTCGTAGCTAACAAACCTTTGCCTCTTTTTGCGACCTCTTTACCTTGCGCGTAATRTTTTCCCATTTCAGACTACATGTCATTCTCTCGAGAATAAGATTCCTTGTTTGAACTGTATCCATATTCATGCGTCTTTCGTGCGCAACCGTTAAACAAKGAAATGATACTCTAGGGAATGACAGGTGGTGTCTGAAATGGGAAAAAATTACGCTTAAGCTGTAAAGATATATATGAATTCAAAGGACATTTTTGCGCACTATTAACAATAAACCTCTTTATCTCGCTTTAGAATAAATAATGAAATAATAACTCCTTAAATAAATCTTAAATAACTCGTTCTTGTTTCATTAAATTACATTTTCAAACAAAATTAAGTAAATTTAGATATTCATATGTATGAAGCTAATACCCCATGTGATTGTTCAAAATCAATTCTCAAATAACATTCTATGTTTAATAATATCAACTAGGACGAGGATACACTAGAGCAAACACAACCGGTAAATATATCATAAACACTACTAAATAAGTAAATAAACCAGAATATCATAGAATATAAAATCAATAAAAGGATCTAAAAAAAAACACGAATACGTATCTTCTTTTTTTTTTAATAAAAAATAAAAAGCTCCAATCTGCCCAATTTAGTGAGATATCTCATATAACATAAATGCTCTTTTATTTCAACCCTATCGGCTTTTAGCCAGCGTTGCCTAGTGGTCTGCGGTGGTTACTTCAAGAAGTAAGGGGTAGGGCGACACGGCTGACCTCCAAACAACGCAGGCTAGAAGCCAATAGCGTAGAAATAAAAGAGTATTTCTTAAGTGCTTATAAACCCTGATTCAATATTCTCAGTATTGATTATACTTGGACTAAATAGTTGGATGGTAAAATATTTCTTGATTTGAGAGTTGCGTCTTAAAGTCATAAAGATTCACTTCCAATAATTTCAATTACAATAATCTGTGACGTCATTTAAGGCGTTCGAGTGTACTTCTGATAACTAGCAATACAAAATGTTGGCCATCTTTAGGGAAGAGATTTAAAATAACTTTCAGGTTAACCATGAGTAAAATAATGACGCTCTTTAGAATCTATGGGTGTAAATCGTTAAATTTTGTATATATTTATTTCAATAAAGTTAGTCACTAAAAAGCTAGAAATCTGTGATCGCTGAGAATCATGGAAAATATTTCATATCCAACAAGTAAAGCTTTTGACACAAACTGCRGCAGTTGATGATGCTCAGAGGAGGTGAACTTGAGTAACTGGTAAAAGATCTCAAGTCCATCAACAGTTATCAAGCGGTTGAAACAGGTAAAATGTATCTACCCATAATCCTTGTCGGTCTCAGCTTTGTAGCTTTTCAGGTGACTAACTCTATTGAAATAATTGTATTTAATGAAACAATAATACTATCAAGGAAAACTATAATAATATTCGATTCCTGTTTTTAAAAGTTCTCTTTAAATTTTGATATGATATTTGACATATGATGCTTCTTGCTGAAGTTCTTTATTTCATTTTTCATCTAGTYCCAACTAGAAAGCCTTGTCAACAGGCTTAAAGTCGAGAAGGGTCAGATAGCAGCGGCACTAAGGGAAGAACAAGCCAAGAGTGAACTTCTCTTGAAGGAAATCAAAGACGCTAGTGAGGTATGTCTTGCTTTGAAATCATAAAGTTGTTGATAGAATTGGAACTTGTAGACAATTTTAGAATTCGTTGCAGCACAATTTTTATTGTATGTTATGTCCAATGACACACGTGCAACTGCTGCTGATGTAGGTGCGTTGCTGTTTTGCGCTGGCATTGTCAGGAAACAAAACGAAAATAGCGTTGCCAAACATGACACGGTTTTGTTTGCAAAGTTTTATTTATTTATTTATTTATTTATTT